CATCTTGGGGTAGGGGAGACGAAAAAAATTCTACAAAACTAATAAAGATACGGTTATGCTGTTGTAATATCAATGAATCGGTAAACTGTAGGATGGCAAGCTTGGCAGCAACATTAGCCTATAGCAAATATTTTTCTATTTTGTAACTGAAGTCTGACATCTCTAAGAAAATAACTATAAATGCATTGATATTTTCGACCACCACTTTACCTCGCTAGCTAATGCATCATTAAGGAAAGAATGAATCAATTAACACGCTTCCTATTGAGCTATTCTGGGATACTGAAATTAAATATAGGCGTGATATATCTCGATCAGGCTATGAACTTACTATATCAAAATTCATTAATGACTGAGAAAGTCTTAATAAAAGTGCCATAATAATTATACTGTACACTGTACCTATCCCCTAGAAATGCATAAGATACTCTAGATCTGTTTGTCTAATTGCATTGTTTAGTATATTTTTGAAAGTACCTTATTAACATCTAACAGGCATCCGATAAACCATTAATAAGGAACAGACAAATAAAAACAAATAACATAATCGTTACTAATAAGCCAAATGGGGTGCTCATGGACACCAAATACAAGATGTAGTAGAGTGATAATATTGATAAATGATATGGTAAATGAGTGGTAAATGATACATGACTTTTGACTATTCGACTTCTAATAAGTTTTTTGTAACACTGTTTTTTCATAGCTTACCAAGTGCCCATTCTTCAAAACACAGAAAGACAGAGAATGTACTCTTGTTTTGCTACCTAAGGCGGTTCTAAGTAAAAGCTAATGCATCATAGATTTTATGTGAAGAAAAGTTTTACTACCAATTGTCTTTATGACAGATATGCCCATGTTTCTTCTGGCGAATGTATATTTAATGGAATCATGGTGACCGCGTCTGTCAGAGGTTATACAAATTAAAGAAGAAATAAAATTATTTGACGTAAAGTATGTTTGTGTTGGCGCAATTATAAATCAAATAAGCGGAGTATGTGAGGAATGATTTTCACCTTTGGCGGGGAGTTTATTTATTATTTTTTTGTCATTAATTCATATTAGTATACGGCAGTGTCATCTTTCAATGACGATTTCAAACATGGTACTATACTAGTATTTAACAAAGCATTAACATGCAAAATGCCACCACCTTCCATTTGTTAAAGACGCCGAATGCCAGCCACCAAACACCGTCCAGGAAAAAGTCTAAAACAATATGACAATATGGTGGTGACATAATAAAAGTATGGAAATAGATATATCAATTAACTGTTAAATCAACTATACGTATATCGCATGTATCTGTATTTGAATTATGGCATTGGAGTTGGCTGCCGCCTCTGCATGGGGGAAGTGTAAACGCACCTAAGTTCAATACTCTGAGCTGTAACTCTAATGTACTGTTTTGTTCTATTTATCAATTAGTTTCAAGATATTTACATTTTCCTTTTTGTTTTCCATTTCATCAACTCTAATTTCCCCTTAAGTTGTCATCGCGTTTTGATTTGCATGGGGCTATTTATGATCTGCCGCTGCGAATCAATTCACTGCATCTAACGTAATTCGCATTGATTGCAGGACAAAAGGATCACTGTCCCATATTCCGATGTGAATAACATTCTTTAGGAGTTTAAACTTAAGGAAGGAATAACTCATCGAGGCGTGTACGAGCTCCTTTGATGGTGTATCCATAGAATCAATCATATTTAACACCTATTGAGCAAATACTACTGACTTATCATTCAATATTATTTTTTCATCATCGGATTCATGTCGCTGTGTCTATAGAGCTATTATTTAAGTGTTATTGCCTAATTGAACAAATAGAATAATTACATTTGGGATTAATATATCTGGGAGTTATCTTGAAGCATACAGACCATGCCATTTATAGCTTCCCGCAGGTGTAAATCACTTCAGTTTAAATCAATGTCCGAACCTCCGTCTATCGATAACAGGTAATGGAATCAGATGATGGGGAAATGAAAGTTGAATTCAGGACAGTAGAGCTGTATATATTGTTATTCAACTTTATATTGAGGAAGGATAACGGTTATTTTGATTATGTTTAATCAACAGTCATGTTTTCCTTAATCAATGTATTGTGGATATTGGAAGAAACGTAAATATGCAGAACCTAGAAAATATCACGTTTCTTTACGCTAAACCGGGCAGTGCCATTTTTGTAACTTTAACTGCCTTTGTTGGGTCAGTTGAAGCCTTGTATTCCAAAAGAGATAGAACAAACAAGATATCACGTGGGTGCCCATTAAAATTGCTTTCAGATGTGTATCGATAATCCTATACAAATAGATAAAAAGTTCGAATGTAGATCAAACCGAAAAAAATCATGAAAATGGATGGCCGTTGAAACATGCTATATTCAGCGAGAAGTCTTTATCAATTAAAATTCATACTAACTGTATTGCGATTTGGTCTTTTGGTTGTTGTGTAAAACTAGCCGTTTTGTCTTAAATTGTCCGCTGTTGACCCCTGGATAGCATGGGACAATGTCCGACGTTGTCTGATGATGTCTGGAGTACAGCGCCAGTTTGTCAGTGGTCAGATGATCGTTACGTCCGGTAATATGTCCCTTAAAAATAATTCACATTTTCATTTTCATGGGACATTTAAAGGGACAAAATCGGACAACGACGGACAATGTCCCATTGGCAACATGGGACAAAAGGGACATCGACGGACAATAGTACAAAATAGTACTGGATGTTCGAACGTTTACCCGTTTATTTGTTATATTTTCTGGGTTGGTAATACGTGAGAATAAGTAAAACGTAAGCTTCTCCTTATGAACGTAGGCATGGTTAGTGACCCTGGATCGGTACCAGGGCCTAGAAGATATGTACACTGCTTTGACAAATGCTTATAATTAGATGTTTACTTATTTTTGTTTGGTTGGTAACTAATCGTGTTTACATCAAAATCAATGAAGATCGTTATTACTCTCTCGATAATGGACCGATTTTTGATACACAGATATTCGATATAACAAAAACAACATTGACGCCGAATAACATTTAGCTTTACTCGATACATCGATGCCCCTCGAAAATAGCGTACAATGTTTCCGTTTTTCTCAATTATACACTTATCGTTATTCGTTAATATAATTATTGTACTCGAAACAAATATCCCAACCCTTATGCAGTCAGCTAGATGCTTCAGGAAGTTAATGCTTTGATGAATTTACGAACAATGATCAAATTGTTATATGAAATCAGGTTATATGCATTTTATGATTAATATCTGACCTTAAAAGGAATTTACTCATTCAAAGTTTCTGTATTGCTTTTTTCGAAAATAAAACAGTTTATTGTTTTTTTTCCAGTTTTCCTCGACATAAAATTAAGAGATGATCGCCTGAATTCCCTTTGCCTTCTGTAAGGGTCATAGCATCAACATACAAGCTTTCTTGAAATGTTTACTTTGCAAATTCGAGATTTTTAGGAATTCAACAATATGATTGTATTTCAAAGGTTTTGAAAAAACGTGGTATTGATTTTTACATGAACGATTCTTGAACAAAATCATGTCAATGAGATTCACCGTTGTGATTTTCGGCAACTGACAAAATAGCATTTATTATTTTTGAAAGGGCGTTTTGCTTTGTGTGTGCACTAAAATCAGCTGTATTTTTGGTAATAGTCGATTGCCTTACTTTTTCTCAACGAACATCTCTTCTTTATTCCAACCTGGGATTTAAGCAAGTGAACTGTTAATAATTAAAACCTGATTGATGATAAATAAATCCTAGCTACTCAACACGAATTCGTATTCAACCGTCTTTAAATCTTGTAAAATATATAAATCACTAAAATAGTGATTAATCTTGACACGCTGTGCAATTTTCTACGGCATGGGTGTCCCCGGGATTTTCCAGGGGTGGGATGAGTCTACATATATGTAGAATACAAAAATCAGCAATCAGCATAGCTTGCACATGAAACCTAGCTTTTCAATATCTTTTGCCAGACCATATAATTTTACGTTTGATTCTCTTTTACTAACAGAACATCCCCGGGAGAAAGTATAGGTGGCTCGAAATAGGTACAGTTCAATACACCAATATCGAGGGCCACCCTTTCAAACTGTTGTCAATCGGCAATAAAATCAATATCAGCGAGGAAATACAAATATCCCTATTATTAAACATAGACATATATTCAATCACCATGTACCTAATATAAGATTCAAAGATCTTCAGAAATCCTACCTAACTATGGTTGGTAACGGAGGAACGGTTATTTGTAAAATCTGGTTTTGCTATTTAAACACGTTTGCATCACTTAAAATAGTATAAACTAATTCAGACATTAATCATGTTCAGCTATGGATTTTCCCTATTCATCATAAAAAATAACGAGATTTGTTAAAGTATCTACATTGTCCAAATAAACCGCATTCACGGAGTTAGTTGGATGCGTGTATCCAGACCATCTGCAGATGATATTAGGTGACAATAATTTGTACGATTTATAAGTAATCACATAATATTGCAGTTTTTGCATCGTGTAATATTGTAAACATATATTGTTTGTCATTGTAAATGAAGATAATATTTTGCCACGATGCGAATTAAAATTGTTATCCAAATAATATTCGGAATGATCCGCGGTATGCTTATCGTGGACCACTCGTTTACATCATGTAGTTGTTTTGTGTTTTTATTGTTGTGGAGTGATGTTATTGTGCTGCGGCTTGTGCCAGGCCATCGAATAAGGAAGATCTATTTAATTTGTAGCATTGTCTTTTGAACCATGGTAATTTGATGCTTTGAATCTTTTTTGATAAATATTTGTATTTTTGTAATGTTATCCATGACGTTATGTATTCAGTAAGTCTGCCGATATATGTGTCTTCCAAACGCCGTTCATTTTGTTTAATGCTACAAAACAGCTCATTGCTGTATATGAACACCTTTATCAATTTTGTTTTTGTTTATAATGTAATTATTTTACGTATATGTATGATTCACTTACCGTTGGTGTGTTGAAGACGAAACAGACCAAGTATGGTCACTAGTTTAACCCTTGTTAGTATATCCATCCTCTCTCCTTTAATAAACATAATTCAATTAAACCAAAATAAATCCACGGTCATTATCACGCAGTGTATTCGTCAAATCTCATTTGGATCTAATGAGCACTCAATTTAATTGTGATCATCTGCTATTGCGTTGCCTTGGTATACAGTGAGGTAATTTCTATTGGTCTAATTTCTCGCCTCCTGCTATACGATGCCGCCATGTGCCTATATATTTCATTGAATCCTTCGATTTTTAACGTATAAACATGATGTCATTTTAAACATCAAATTTTGATTTACCTATGTAAATCACACTTTTTCCGATGACAAAAACATCTATTTTGATAATGAACTTCAGAAATGTTGGATTTGATGTTTGTTAATATCCACTAACTCAACTAAATCGCCGCTTCATTAGACACGTTGTCTGTAGAATAATGGTATTGGCTACTAAAATGAGGTAATGCAGAGCTGGATGTTAATCATGCATAGTACAGAGTGAGCCCAAATAACAGAACCGTCCAAAATTGTAAAAATGGTTTAATGCATTCGATCAATGAATCAAATCTCGGAGTGAAACACAATAAATAACATCATGAATTAATTGTACAGGACAAAATTGATAATGAAGGTAGGTATTGGTATAATGTTGATGTAACTTTGCTTTTCCATTGTAGTAAATATTTTAATAAGGAAGATATTGCTTAAGAGGGTGGTTTCCTAAGAGCCGATGGACGAGTGCGCATCATTCTCGCGCATCTCACTTTCGGTTTCGGTTTCGATGCCGTGATTTTGTTATTTTAATGTATATTACTCAAATAAATAAAACTTATGTGCAAAATGAATGAAAATGGCTTTATAATATTTATTTGTGGTGAGAGAATTAGTTGCACGGGAAAATAAGACACTCTATTGTCGTAATTTTTGAACGTCTCTGAAACTCCTCACCAATTATCGCCCACCTAGAAACAAGATGCTGCACTGATGACGGGACGATTTCAGTCTCAATCGGGCAAACAGTGGAGAATCGTAGCATTAAACATCATAACAACTGTTTATGAAGGTAAGAAGTATCGAATTCAATATCATTTTCCTTTTGTAATCGATCAGAATCACCATATATAAAAAGGTAGAAATCGCTTCCTGGTTCTCGATCGGGAATTGTCATTTGCGTAATATTGATTTGAAAATTCTCATAAATTCCCTTGAAATTTAGTATTTAATGTAATAATTTGGTATGTTAATAGTAGATGGTAGTGTTATATATAAATACAATGGATTATTCTGTGATCGTATGCATATAATCACTGAAATTCTTCTTAAAATTACATATGAATTTATTTTGGGTGATCGATTCGTCATGACCTTGATCTTACAAAGCCCATGTTCAAACTCAACAGGTTTTCATGTCCCAGAGACCTCCCATGCGGGCAGAGTCGGGACATCTTAAATGAAATGTTAACTATATTTGACTGCCTATCACAGTAAAAGTACATTTTGATGTGGGCAAAAAGATAATTTTGTAATGGAAAATTACATGTACATGTTTCGTGTACATGTATTAAAAGTGTCCTGTGCGGGAGTACATGGCAATCACATGCAGTTATCATCAATAAATATTTGGGCACGGATAGTCCAACAACATTAGACCTAGCCTGGGGCCTGGTTTCTTATCTGGCATGTCTTATGGCCCCGGCGTTGAACTAGGGTACGGATAAACATGCTACACGTACTGTACATGTGCTGTACTGCAGTATAGTTGAAACTGTACATTTATATGTTTACTGTATCGGTATTAGATATCATAGAACATCATATGACGTCTCAAGTTTCATTTTATTCTTGATATACTTTCAAACTTTTCCATGTATTTCAGATGACAAGTTACCCAAAACAACAAACAACGGTTTTATGGACCACTAACAGTTGCGTCAAAATGATTGGGAGGTTGAGGAAGTTATTATGGTTAATGATAAATGATCATGCAATGCAGTTTTTGAGTACATGTAATTGTATAAATGACATGTAATATATTGTTCAAGTCATATAGATAGATGTTATATCACCTTTGCCTGTGTAGGCAATGACTACAGAATACAATACAGTGCTTTCAGTAGGCTTGTCCAAAAGTGGTTCCCTGGGACGGATTGATTTTACAAAATTGCGTCCCCCCTCAAAAAAGTGCGTCCCCATGAAAAAAGGTTCCCGGGAATTCAAAGTCACATTTTTGCACTGAACGAAAAAATTGATGAAAAGTTTGCATCAGATTTTTTGGCCCAGATCAGTGTACTACACACGTCTAGTAGGTCATTAAATGATGCAGATACCTCCATTAGAAAGGGCTAACTAATTTTCAACCATTAAATACCATTTTTCTTCGCGTATTTTAAAGCAATTTGCTATTGATTTTGATCGCTCAGAAAGTTTCACTAGGAGCAATCTCCGTGAGGTTCCATTTTTTGGTTCAGTTTTTGCGCATGCGCAGCAAATCCAGCAATTTGATTAGTTAAAATTATTAAGACGCATGCGCGATCAATAATCTCGGCCAATCATAGGACTCGTACCGATTACCGCTCGGAAATCAACTACTAGTGATTGTCCAATCACATACCTCATACTATTTTGATCAGAAATCAACTTCCGGGAAAGAAACTCCGAAAGAAAATTCTATTTATTTTAGAAATAGAATATCCTTCGTTTATCTAGCGGATTTTGACCAAATAAAAGACTGAAGGTAAGATCTTTATCAATACATTCATCCAGAGTTGATTTTTTTATATGACCTGCACTGCGTCCAAGTGACCCCTCATTTTCATTGTTTGGGGTCCCTATAGTAGAAATCGGGTCCTCTCCATTATGGGACGGCGTTAATGAAAGCACAGCAATAAATGAATAGACATTAAGGCAATCATTACATGATAATCATGACACTTTTTGACAGGTGTAACTCAATTCCCATCCGATTGAGCCCAGATCACAATATGCCTCAAAATATCATGTTTCTGGCTAAACAGAAAGATGCAATAAGTATCAAAATGGCATGGATACTTTGATGTATGGTATCAAGTGATCTTTCCAGCTGGTACTAAAATAACTTCAAGTCTAGTTGTTTTTGTAATAAATAGATTATATACAAGGTGGGCCAAAAAATCCATTGTAACTTTTAGTCATGTATTATCTTCAATACTTTAGGAAATTGAAAAAATAATTCATTGTCAATATTGTGTAAATATAATTATTGAATATACAAGCTCAAGCTTTAATTACTCACTTCAAGGATTTCCTGAACACATCCTCTCTATCCACCTGAACAATCAGTCTGAGACATATTATGCCAGTTTTGAAAAAAAGCTGAGGTCAGTAAGCTATATTATCCAAGGGAGAGATGGTTAACTTCTAGAGATAACAACGTTACAACATATGTTTTAATTGATGAAAGTGTGTTTACAGGGCACATATTGTATGTTAAAAAGATGATTTCAGCAGTGATGGCTCAAGCTGAGAAAATTTGAAATTCGTCATGACACATGTCTGCATGTAGAATACAGATCATGATCAATTGACAAGCCAAAAATAAATACATACACATTTTTAAATTTAACATGTTCACCAGTAATCATTTTACAGTTATCTGAATTTTTGTTGATTGAGCTGCAATAATAAAGAAAATTGAAGAAATGGAAAATTTTTCTAATTGTTATTGGCCCACCCTGTAGATATGTAAATTTACAACATATTAATTTATGTTCTGCAGGCCTTGTCTCCAAAGATGTCTTGGGTGCCCAGAAAGTTGGCTTCAGTGGATGTACGTTACACCTGACTAACAGTCATTTGACATTATACAAAATTAGCTAGAGGTACAGAATGTAAGAGGTAAGAGAACAAGTAATATACAGTAAAATCTGTCCAATCTGAACATCATTGAGAATGGTCAGAAAGCATTCGGATGGGGAGAAGTATTGATTTCGATTTCTCTATCCGCAAGATTGTGGATTTTAACGCATTCTCAATGAATATTAATATTTCTATTGACCATTTGGCTTCATGGCATCAAAATTCTGAGGCCATTTCATATTTTTCAGAATTTCATATCAAATCAGTCTTAAATTTAAAATATTTGAACAGTTTTGTAAAAATTGTGGAAAGTGTTCAATTAACACATGTTAAATTTTCAAATATGAGTGTCCACTGTTCGAATTAGGATGTTGTCAGATTTCAAGGTGTTCAGATATACAGGTTTTGCTGTATGGGATTAACTAATCATTTTTATTATCAAAATAAGATTATAAGTAAAATGTTTGCATCTAATTAAGTAATGATAACTTTCCTGCCTAATTCTCGAAATCGTTGTTCCCTCTTCAAAAGTGGAGACGCGAAAATCTTTCCTTATAAGGTCAAAATATTTCCCATGATGCAGTTCGTGGAGGAACAAATTTATACTTCCTGGTTTTTCCTCATAGGTTTAACATGGGGATTTTCACACCTATTTTTCAAACGATATATTTATTCATATTCCCGTACGAGACTACAGAAAAAATTATTAGAAACGATTGATCTCTTATTAATCTTAATATAACAGCTATTTTTTCATTGTATTGATTCATAGCATGGTGAAAACGACGATTGAAAAGTGAGAAAATATTCCGGAAGAGAAGGTCACGTGATCAATTGACTAGTCGCCATATTGGAAAAAACAATTCCATTCGACTTTCAATACTTTCATGCCAATCTTACCGCATTACAAACTGCAACATCGATGCAACAACTGAATAAAAGTATTCATCTTCAAATTACATTATAGAGTTACGTTGAAAACCCACAAACAACTGAGCAGTAGACCAACAAAGACGCGTCGCTATTATCTAGGTCAATCTGTTCTGTGGTTCGAGAGCAAATCTATAGTACTCGTTTCCGAATTTGTTGTTCATTGTACAATCTTTTATTGATTAAACTCGGTATACTGACTATTAAAGCAATGACAAAGCAGAATACTTCGGATGGTGTCATTGTTTTATTTAGCGTGCGGGTGTAAAAACAAAATTGCGTAATTAGTTTGATTTAGAACTTTCGGGTCACGCAAATAGCTACGCGAAATGCATAGTGGGAAAATATTGACCAATCAAATTTTGTCCTTTTTGAGTGCTTTTTCAGAACATATTTGCGAACGTTCTGATTCAAAGAGCGAACCGCGAAAGGGAGAATTCAAAAAGAAAACTACACA